TCCTAAGCCACCGGGTCACGGGCAACAGTTGGTACAACGGTATAAGGAAAGATGTTGAGGGTCATTCTGAAGTACACATTGTGTGGACGGATTGCGACGCGCAATCTCAATGTTGATCGCGATCCCCATTGAAGTGAAGCTTGGTCTTTCGATCACGAGGACCGTAGCTGATGCAAATATACAGAGTTAGCAGGCATCGAGATGAGGTGTAATACCATCGAAACGCGTCATAGTAGTGCAGTGTTTTCGGGCGGGCAACACCCAATTTCTATTTCCACGACGGTTGCTTAGTTTGGGGCTCACGTTTGGTTCCACCGTGGAAAGTGTGCTCCTTCATTTTAAATGAACTTCACAATGGACATCATATGTTTCATGAGTGAAAACCCTTGCACGCGGCTATTGCTGGTGGCCTGGCTTAGATGCTGAAATTGAAAACTACTTGAAAACGTGTGATCTCTGCCAACAGTCCAATAAAGCTGCAGGTCCAATACACCCTTGGCTTTGGCCTGAAAAACCATGGCAGCGTATCCATGCAGACTATTTCGGTCCTTTGAACGGAACATTTTCCCTGTTGATAGTTGATGCCCATTCGTAATGGATCGGTGTTTATCCAGTGTCTCATCCCCCGGCTGAAACAACCATTTCAAAGATGCGATCATCGTTTTCGGTTTTTTGAATACCTGAAACGGTTTGTACAGGTAATGGGTCCTGTTTTACCAGTAAGGAGTTTGAGAGTTTATGCACAACAATGGTATTCAACACGTGCGTACAGCTTCAAATAGATTAGCCGAAAGAGCAGTGCAGACGGCAAAAAGAGGCCTACTAAAGCAGTTATCGAGAATCGTATAAACGCGATTAGATCGATTATCTTTTGCCTACAGAATAACTCCGACAGAAGCCACGGGTAAATCCTCACAGGGCTGATGTTCAGTAAAAGACTTCATACTAGATTATACCTATTATTTCCTAATCCTCGAGCGCAAATAGAAGCGAAACAAAACAAGACAGCTACGTTAGACAGGGATCACGGTGTTGTTTTCCAACCTGGAGATCCTGTGTATACACGACTTCCACACGAACAGTCATGGCAGCCCGCAACTGTGGTCACAAGTGATGGTACCCAGGCTGACCTAGAGGTAACTTGTCGCGTCTTGAGGCGGTATTCAGATCACACACGTCCGCGTTGTGTAGAAACATGACAAAATGAGGAAAATATATCTCAGTCCAACGGACGGTGGAGAAAAGCACTCAGGATACGGCGAACAACAAACTGCCCACCACTTCGCAGATCTCAAGGTGTACATAAACCTGTTGAAGGTTCCGTTCCCGGTGTATGACTTTCTCTAAGAGAGAAGGGGATGTTACATCCGTCAATGATATTGATAGGCTAATTCAGCCACACCGCGTTCTTATTGGTTTTCCTCGCATTGACCAATCAATAGTTCCTCACTCATGTTTTAACTCGTGTGTCATGTGAGCCATGTCGCACTGCTTTGCCCGATACACTTTGTTTCGTACTGTGTCTTGTTCATGTCTAACTGCGGTTTGGGGGCGTGCTTTGCTTGAATTCGTTACTACGTGGTAGAAAGTTCTGGTGTTTCTTATGCCCACGTCTCCGAAAGCCTGAAATGGTTGGGTTAAGTGTGAAGCTGTTTGCATCGCATCGTACCATCGAAGTGTTGCGATTGGTTATCACGAGCCACTGTAAGGTGATGCACGTGACTTCTGCATGAATGAAAGTGCGTGTAACAACCAGGCACCGTGAGCACACATGGCAGTCGTGTCCTTACTTAGAATAGTAAACTTGAAAGTGACGAGGAGCTGAACTTAGTGAAACATTATGAAGGCATTCGTCATCAATCAAGAAGAGCATTCTTCAAGTCCATATACCTGGAAATGACCAGGAGCCAGGCAAGGCATTAGCAGTAAGCCGGCCCACATTACCGATGCTTCGCTGCCACGCCATCACTGTGGCGCGAAGGCTGGGTGTGCCGCGAGATCGCTCGCATCTACGGACTCGCATCTATGGACTTGAACCGGTGACCTCCGGAACACAAGACAAGCGCATAATTCTTTCGTCCGTAGTCGGCGACAAAGGCCAGATAACCAAGAGTGGTCGCACAGAAACGCGGTCTACTAAAAGCCCTCTTCCTCTGAGCTAGACGAACTTGTAGCCCGGAAGCGTTGGAAACTGAAGAAGAGTTTTTGAAGAAAACCTTAATGTTAAATAAATTTCCCGAATAGTTCATCCAAATCCACAGCAGGATCAGCGAAAAGAAACTTCGGTAAGAATGGCAGAGAAAAATAGCTGTTTATTTGCTTTTACAGTTCAAGGTGTATCGTGTTGCAAATGATATAGGACACAAATTCAGGACGACTCCAAACAAGCATCCACACAGCTGCCCAGTTGAGCGTCATGCATACCTCATGACCGTCACAGCAGCTCCTCAGCTAGTTCGAACGTTCATGTGATGTATAGGCGCACCTACAATTGCAGTGACATGTACATAGACAAAACTGACCGTCGATTGGATCAGTGAGTGGCTGAACATTTGCAAAAGTGAGTGGAACAGGAGATGACATAACAAAACGGAGCGGATTCTAGAATGAACCGCAGTCCAACATCATCTATCACCATGCACCTCAAGACAACTCATTATCACGTGAAGTCGATCGCGTTTAGGATCCCATTATGCAACGGAAACCTGATCGTGTTGGTGTTCAGTGAAGCGCTTGTAATTAGGGCACATCAACCAGTGTTATGTGCACGAAAACTCCGGAGACGATGACTCAGGTTGCCTTGGTCTTGATCGGTGTCGCCAGTTGTTCGACGTATACATCCATTTAATTGTTTTGCTTGTAGTATGCATGCGACTGATGAGAAGAATCGAAATGTTGGCATATATCAACCTGTCTTCGCGTTGATTAATTGGCTGAAAGGGACACAATATGTTACCTTTAACGAATTGCTACTGGGACGTTTCATAGCGTAGTGACTGCTTATTCTGCGAGTCCTTGTGAGCAGAGAGTTGTCATTTGTGTGCGAAATGATCCAACGTTAGAACACGACTGCTCATGTGCTACGCCGTTAATCCAGCTGTTTGGAATTGTAAAGTGAGATTGCGCAGCTAATAAGACATTGTCGCGGTGATCGTGCAATTTATGCACAACTCTTCATACCTTGCATCGCTTCATGAAATAGGGGAGTCCGTTCAACCGACATGTCTTCACTGCTTTTTGGCACTGTGCAGCGAATTTTCTTGATACTTTCATTCAATTGACCGGTCTTGGATTCGGGCTATGTAGTGGCCTGATCTGCAGCTCGAAATCAGCGATCTTCCCTCTAAGTACAAGACCAATTCCATTTACTCTTCTGCCATAACAGTTAACGGTTCACACCCTTGCGTAAGGGTTTGAATAGTCTTGACTATGAGGCTATCCAAGCATACATCACACAAAAACAAGGTATCTGTAGGTATACTGTGCTTGCTGTCATTCTATGATTTCACGCCATGCCCTTGAAAGTACTTGGCACATAAGGAACATAGGATTCCTGCGATGAGTTCTGTCATCTGCGTGTCTGATTCACAACACCTTAGGTTTGTTGTACATTTGAGGTCACTCTGACATGCTGCATCGTCCCATTGTCCAATGGTTCGTATGTACTTTTGCAGTCACGTTCACGCGTGTTCCCTCTATGGGCGGGTAAGGCGCTTCGGTGGCGCAGGAACCTAGCCTGTCGTCTGTGTGAAGACAGCAGGGTTATTCGTCCCGCAAGTTCGTGCGATAACGGTTCACACTGTGTCTCAGTTGCTCCGAAGTTGTGGTCATAATTCAGAGGAGAGGGATTTAAGCAGCGAAAGGTGAGACCATTATAGGCAGAGTGGCATGAATTTAGTAACTGCAAAAGGTCTACAGTTTCCAAGCGGAATCTCCTTAGAAGTTCTAATTGATTTTGTTGAAAAGCTCTAGGATCGCTCACCTGACTGAAAATAAACTTTGGGATGGGCATACGAAGAGTGATATAGTTGCATGCGTGCGTTGCCGTAGGATTTCTGAGAGGACAACAGCCGCGCGTAAGCGATGTGGAGAGGATAAACGCGTAGCAATGAGTTGGCTGGATGGAGCTGGCAAAGCCACGTCGGATGAGTGCAAGTGTTTCAGCGTGCGCCAAGTACGTGAGGGATTTGTCCGGAAAGGGCAGGTGGACCCAAAACGGTGCGACGCTCAGTACGCTCCGGCAGCGTACGACAGAACATTATGCCGGAAGAATCAATAGCCAATTCCACATTACGACACGAATTGCAAAACAACTGCAAACACACTGTAGAGACCCAAAGGGTGTGGAAAGTTGTTAATTGTGGCAACGAAAATGCAAGTTACCTTATAAAAGACCGCTGGCGACGCTACTCAGCTGCGCAATGCTGAGCATCGCTACGACTGGGTTCCCGGACGTTGTGTGATGTACCTATACTCACCACCTTCCGTGCAATCTTTTTCACGCGTTTTTTTGTTGAATCTCCGGCGTTCAACTGGCAGAAATACGATGAGCAAGCCCATTCTAAGCTGTTCCTGCCGGAGTTCCCGATTGCGTCATACTACTTTCTACTGGCGCAGTAGTGATTATCCCGGTGAAGCAAGACCCGTAACAGGCCCCAGTCCACATGAGTACACACTACGTCCACCGTTGATTACTTCGAGTAAGTTAAGTGTAAACAGAATGCATTATTTGGTACTACGGCAAGATTACCGATTAATTTGAGTTGTAAGAAGTCAGTGCATGCAATTGGAATAGGACCATTCCTTAGGAATTGCTGGGCAGCATTAAGCTGTGAAAGAAAATGGTGTGCAATTGTTGAAATCTAAATTCTTTGGGTCTTGATAAGTTTCCCCACATTGCTATTGAAAGGCATAAGGTTAAGGATCTCTGTTTACGGTGTAAAGCATAGGGTAGTGTGAGTAGCAAATATGACACGAAAGCACTAAATTAGCCCACTCACCAGCTGGTCCCTTTCCATCGGAAAAGTTGTAATTTTTCATATCGGAGTACCACTGGTTCACTACCTCCGATCCTGTTAGCAACAGAGCGGTGTATAAAAAAGTATTTAACAAACCTTGAACATCTACACGAGCAGCTGTGCTAGTACGCATATTAATGCTTTCGCCGATTTCGCCACGGCTGGAGAGCGGACTGTTTCTGATGCAATCCTCTGAGATCAGAACCTCGGCCCAATCCTGGGCCGTTTTGTCCAGCGCACGGCTGTGTTTTAGAGGAGGCGCTCCGTGTAAGGCTCGCCTCGCGTTGTGTTCGTTTAGACACTCTTCTATAAAATCATCCAAAGTGGTCATGGCACTTTCTTTCACATAGATTCTAAAAGGAAGGAAGAAACGTTACGTGTATGAAGGAGTTTTTCCTATAGCGTCTTCGAATGCTGACAACGATAGGTACAACCACAGTGCTAAGTAAGAGAAGACATTCCATTCTACTGTAGGCCATGCGTCAAACACAAAGTAGTCACAAATTAGGACAAAAAGAATACAGATGAGTAAATAAAAACAAAGTTGGTTATCTTCATGTAAGTCAAAATGGCAGGCGAAATTGGAGAACGGCAGTGATAAGTGGGAAAACTTCTCGGTACACATGAGGCCGCATAGCTACCGGTGAGGAAAGGTGCGCCAGACGTTGAAGCGTTTGTTTTAAAGATGAGAAAACGAATACCACGGTTGGATCCTAAATCAAACATTGCAGCCATAACTATGGCCGATGTTGGTTCACCAATAACGTTGCATTTTGTCTTTGTATGCAACCAAACCAGTCCATAGATTGCATCCAAAAAGCTGACAAGCAAACTGATATTTGGCGTACTTTGTTAGGTTTATTTTATTGATACTTGGTCTCATGCTTCTGGACAAATGCAGGGTAGAAGAAATGCGTTAACCTGGCGCAGGCGATTTGTTGCGCCTGCTGGAAGGCAAGTCACATGTAAATAAATAAATAAAACCGACCAAATAAAAAAATAAAATGGCGTTGCTGCTCGACTGACGGCGGACAATCGATCACGAGTGGTATCTTGTCTGTTTGTTCCGGATGCGTAGGCGAATACCAACAGTTGCCACTACAATGCTCGTACCACAGTTACTTCACTGCTGCATACAGCGGGGTGGAGAAGGCATTCTACCCCGGACGCCACCATTCTTCTTCTGCACACAATCTCCCCCTCCCCATTGAAACTAACAAACTACTACCCACAACACGATGGATTACCCGGCGAAATCGTATGCCCGTACATAAAGCACTCAAAATCGGGTGCAGAAATGTGCGCACAATGCTGGACCGGAACTCGTGTTAACGTCCCAAGCGGCGCAGTGCATTAGTCGCGATGGAATTTGCGCGCAACTGGATCGACATCACCCCAGTCAGTGAGTCTAGATTAGTTAAGCAAAAAAGCTGAATTAGGCTGTCGTTGGTTACACGTTCTACTCGGTGTGAAATGCCACCACAGCACCACACGAACATTTGCATTTTACAACTGGCTAAATAGCCAGCTGGTAACAGAGCCGACCGATATCACCCCATAAATAATGAGAATGCGCCTACGACTTGGAAAAGGAAAATCGGCAACTATTAGTGTTGCAATACTCAGTACTTCAGTGACAAACGCTTATAAAGCAAAAGACGTCCGAGAAAATTACGGCATGTTTGGCAAGCCAAACCCCTCGAGATGAATTGCACGTTCAAGTCAATAACTAACGACCCTTTGGGAGTCGATGAAGTTCCTCCTGTGCTTCAGTTAAACAAACGGTGAATCACTCACACGAATATCGGCCTACCCGAGTCCAGTAATCGAATCCGTCACGCCTACCACCCATTGGCTGTCTGGCCCGCTCGGTTGGTTTATCTGTTCATTCTGATCTGATACTACCATCATACCCTCCAATTTTCGTGTTCTTACGCCTCCATATTGCTATCCACCACATACACCTTGCCACTCCGCGTTGTCTTCGCTGGGGCTTTGGCCGTGGTCTCCTTGCCCCAAGCCATCTGGCACTCCAATCCCAATTCATAGTGTTTTCTCCGGTGTCGTCTCGAGTGCACGCGATTTTTGCTGAACGCCTTTCCTCCAACGTTGATTACGTATGACCTGGTAGTCACGACACCTTTATTCCACTGTTCTTGATTTTCGGGGAACGGTTAATTCCACAATCTCCACCACAGTTAGCTCAGGTAGTACCCGTGCACCGCGGTGTAGTACCGTTTCTGGGTGGTCATTCGTCATCTCACATTGTTCTGTCAACGCTCGCGCTGTGGCGACTGGGCGCAAAAGTGTGGCAAATGCCCGTATCTGAGTTCTAGTCCTTCGGCTGTATAGGCGCTGTACTGGGCTCAAATCGAAATTTGTTGAAGGAGTATTGCGATTCCCCAGTAGCATCAGGTAAGGGTCCCCGTTAGTTGATCCAGCTTTTGATAACATTCGCTTGGCCTGCTTCAATGCAGACTTCGCCTTTCCATTCGATTGACTGTGATATGGCTGGTTTGCTGGTGCACGAATTCCCACTTGGTTCCGAAGGCCTGGAACGCACTGCTGGTAAACTGGGGCCTATTGTTGGAGACCAGCACCTCCGGCATATCGTGCCGCGCGAACTAGCTGAGCTTGTTGATTACTGTCTCTGTGGTCGTAGTGGTGAGTGAGTCGATTGTAAAATAATCACTGTAGTAATCCACCGTAAGTAGTATTTCCCGTTATCACTGAATAGATCTACCGCATCCTGCCACGGTCGGTCAGGGACATCATGCAGCATCATTGGTTCGCTCGCACGCCGGATTTCGTGTGAACTGCACGCCTCACAATCCGATACATGACCCTTTATTTGACCCGCTATTTCTGGCCAAAGGATAACTTCTCGTGCTCAGTTAATGATACAGTTGGCACTCGGGTGAGCGAGATGAACGTATTCCAGCATTGCTCCTCGGAGCGATGACGGAATCAAAATACGGTTTCTCTTGAACAGCAAACGATCACAGACAAAAAATTCATCCCGAAAACTGAAGTAGGGTGTTAGTTCCTTCGGCAGCTGCTTCTTTATCTCTGGCCACCCATTTAAAATAACGTCTCGCAAGGCTGAAAACGTTGCATTTTCCTCTGTGTGGCGCCTTTCTTAGAAAAACTTCAGTCACTGCCATATGTTGTACTAAGTTTACTGCTCCGACCTATTCCGGATTATGCGCAAATACCGGTGGATGAGCTCTTGACAGCGTATCCACGATGAACATCTGCGCACCAGGTGTGTACATAATGTTCACGTGATATTTTTGAAGCCGGAGAAGCATACCCTAAAGGCGACAGGGAACGACGTGCAGCAGCTTCCTGGCTGTTGACATAAGTGGTTTATGGTCGGTATGCACGGTTGTCTTTCTTTCGAAAGTACTATCGTCGAAACGCCCCATGGCATAGACTATCGCAAGCATCTCCTTCTCAATCTGCACATAGCGCTGCTAGGTCATGAAGAGTGCTCGACTGCGGAAATGCAAGTTTTCCGTTCTGTAAGAGAACAGCACCTAGTCCGTCTGGGCTACGGACAAAATATCTCCAAATCACCTTCCTCTTTTTCATCACCATCATGAGTATACGTGTTAGCTGCAGGTGGAAAGCACCTAACCTAATGTGCCGCAATATAAAAGACAAGAAAAATATACAGGGGCCGACGGCTGAGTCCCCAGTAATGGATGGGCATTGTTCCGGAGAGCAAACAGTTGGCTACAGCGCCGCAAAAAGAGTTACATTATGTCTAACGAATGAGATCGTGAATGGAGGGGGATGGACAAAGGAACTCACAACATGAACTCCAATGGGACCAGCTTCTAGCCATATCAGTGTGGCATATATCAGGAGTGGCATATCTGTACCCCACCCTGTCTCTATTTTATCCGGTCACACCCTAGCCGTTGTTATATATTTTTTCTTGTTATTGTATTGGCACTGACGAGACAATACGAAATGTTAACATCTGCCAGCTTTCGTCCTCTCACAGCGTTGTTTAAAATGCTCAAGGGAACTAATTGTTTCAAATATCAGTAAGTGTGGTCAACCAAACGCGTTCATCGTCCTTAGGACCCCAGTCAAGCAGTCGGGATGTGCCAACCGACGCCAACTTCGAAGTGAGGGTTTTCATTTCTCTTGGATAAGTCATCGCTTGACCTCCATTTCTCTTCTTCCAACCAAACCCCAGGCGCACAAACAATGCACATCGCGTGAGTCGATATGCTGGCGTGCGCAACAAGTGGCCCAGCCATCGGAGCCTGGTGCGTGATCTAATTGTGCTGAGCGGTTTACTCGTTCTTCCTGCACCAAATACACGATGCCGAACACATTGCTCACGCGGTGCTCCCACCAGACATGAGCCAGGCTGTGAAGGCAGCGATGATCGAAGGTGACGACCCACTTTATGTCTGTCGATCTGATGGGCCAGATTTTACAACCGTATAAGAGCGTTGAACGGAAGGCTGCATTACACACTCTGCCCTTCAGGGAGAGAGTGATGTCGCGTTTGCGCCACAGGTGGCGGAGACTGGCAGATGCACCTTGAGCTTTTGCTATACGGTTTGCAGCTGCATTTTCGATCTCACTGGCACTAATATAACTGACCAGGTACTGGAATTCCTGCACGACTGCTAGCTGATCACCACCGAGGGTCAGTGCAGGGGGTAAATTCCTGTCAATATTAGAGAAGACCTTGCATTTCGATGGAGTAAAGAATAGCCCAAAACGATAGAAAGCCAGTGCTAATCTGTCCAGTGTGGCTCAGCATGGTTGGGAGCTGTCAAAGATTAGGGCAATATCATCCGCATACTCCAAGTCAAGAAGTCGCTCATCAGAAAGTAGCTCCACACCTTCTAGGTCTTGTCCAGCGAATGCTGTTTCCATGACTTTGTCAACTGAAAAGTTGAAGCGGAAAGGTGAGAGCAGGACAGCCTTGTCTCACACTGCTGGTGATATTGTAGGGTGGCGACAGTTTGCCATAAACCCTCACTCCGCCCGAAGTATGCGCGTACAGCGCTTTGATAATGTTCATGTATTTATCACGCTATCTTTCCCTAGTCCCAAAGGGAACATCGACCGACTGAATAGAAGGCACCTTTTATGTCAAGAAACACAACAACAATGGGCAGTCAATAAACATGGCGGTACAATTGACGCAAGGTCAATGCAGTCCCGACCTCGCCGAAACCCGGCTTGCTCTTCACGGATCTGGCTTTCACGAGTGCCAGTCAGTCTGTGGAGAGTGACAGACGCAAGCAATTTAGGTGCAATTGAGGTCATGCTGATCCCTCTATGGTTGCCGCATTCCGA